AAGATCTCTGGATGTAGCATCCATTCTGTTGGGGATGGCTGAGTTGGACGAGATAGTGCGTCTGCTATCACATTCTTGGCTCCTGGGATGTGGCATGCTTTTATGTGGATGTTCAGATTGTTTATTATGCTGAACAGTTGAAAGCAGAGGTTCAGAAGGTTCGCTGACCTTGTTGATCCTTGTCTGTTTATGTAGAAAGCCACTTTGGAGTTGTCCGTGTGTACTGTTAGATGAGCATTCTTTAAAATGCTGGTCCAGTGGAGTATGGCGTTTATCACTGCTTTCATTTCCAGCATGTTGATGTACAGATCTTTCTCGTCTATTGTCCATTTCCCAGCTGACACTTCGTTGTCGAGGTGTGCTCCCCAGCCTTGGAGCGATGCGTCCACATAGAGATGCGTCTTGCACTCCGGTTCTGCTAAGTAGGTGCCTCCGCAAACATTCGATCTCTGAGTCCACCATAGTAGATATGGTTTTAGTCTGTCCGGGAGTCCGAAGGGGTCCTGATCGTCCAGATGTACATTCACGAAGACCTGTAGTGGGCGTAGTTGTAATCTCCCTCTGCGCGTCATATCCTGTGCTGATGTGAGGAGACCCAACAGGCTCTGCCACTGTCGTAATGGCCACGGAGAGAGTAGAGCTTGCGATACCATCTGTTGTATCTTTAGCCAACGGTCCTCTGGTACTGCTATGCGGTTTTCGGTTGTGATGAGCCGAATTCCTAGGAACTGCAGGTCCTGTGTAGGCTCTAGTTCCGACTTGAGGAGATTCACTAGCCACCCTAGTTGTGTGAGAAGCCTGATGGTAAAGTCCAGCTGTAGTCTGAGATGATTGGGATCTTGATGGGCTTGAATCCCGTCGTCTAGGTAGAACGCACTGCGTAGACCTCGATGATGTAGGTATGTGACTATGGGCTTCGTCACTCTTGTAAACAACCAGGGGGCCGATGATATTCCAAATGACAGGACCTTCCATTGGTAGTGTCGTCCGTCTGGTACGAATCTCAGGTACTTCCTTAATTCTGGATGTATAGGAATATGCAGGTATGCGTCCTGTAGATCTATGCTGGCCATGTGGTCCAACAGACGGACGAGATGTAGTAGTTGTGGTAGATGAATCATGCTGAACTTTGCTGGTTCACGTAGATAATCTCTGTTGAATGTCCTCATGTTGTAGATGAGTCGGAACTTTTCTTTGGAGTTTTTCTTTGGTACGAGGAAAACTGGGGAGTAGAATCCTGGTTAGATCTGGTCCTGGTTTATCACTTCTATGGCGTCCTTCTCTAGTAGAGATGTGACCGCTTCTTGTAGCCTCTCGGTCCGATGGGTTGCAAAGTTGAACCTCTGTGGTGCGTTTGTTAGTGGAGGGGCTGCTTGTAGTTGTATGTGATATCCGTCTCTTAGGATGTTGGATACAAAAGGATCTTGAAGAATTCCCCAGTTCTCCCAGTAGTGTTGTAGACGTCCACCCACTCGGGAAGGTTGAACAGGAACGGCTGGGGATGGAAGACTCCAGTCGTTCCGATCCCATCTTTCATCGTCTATAGCCTCTGGGTGCCCTGCCTCATCCGGGTCGTCCTCTATAGTTGCCGGATGGGCGATGAAAAGAATCCTTTCCTCCTTTGGAGGTCCCCATTTTCTTTTCTCTTGCTTTCTGGATGCCTGCAAATTTGGATTTGCCGAGTAGCTGTTAGGACATCTGCCTGATGACACTGGCTAGTGTATCAATGGACTTGATCATCAAGACCTCCCTAGATTCCTTCGTGACTTCCTTGGCGACCTCGTCAATCTCCCCTGCGAAGATGGATGTAGTAGACCATGGAGCTCTGTACAGCATCTTAGTGAAGCGTTCGCTCCAGTTGCATGACGTCAATAGTCCTCGTCTTCTAGCTAGCGTCAGCGCTGCTGATATGGATGATAGATGCTCCGACATAAATTGGTGGTCCTTTTTCTGCGTTAGTAGGGCAGAATAAATCATCCGGTCTTCCTCTGCAGTAGAGTTCTTAAACTTGGTGATGAGCGTCTCATTCACTGCCCTGGATCTGTTAAGTCCGAAGAACATCCTTCTGGTCATAGTGTCTATCTGTGCCAGCTTTTTGTCCTCAATCTTATAAGATTTGGTCCGGGAGTCGTTGATGATTTTATAGTTCTCATCTATTTCTTGCGCCTTCATGAAGGGGTCCATGTTGTGTAGTGAGAACTTCTTTGCGTTGAACTGTGGGATATTAGGAGCCTGGAACTTTGTTGCCTTCCTGAAGGCTGCGTCTAAATTCTCTGGTACTTCGAGATGGGATCAATTGGTGGTAGAGTGATCGTGTCGGCATCATCGTCCTTCATTAGGTACGTGAGTGCTTCATTCTCTTCCTTAGAGGGTGACGCTAAGTCCAGTCCATTAGCCATCCAATATTTTATCTCTGAGTCCGAAAATATGATACCGCCATCGTCCTCTGTATCATGTTCACTGGTATAAGATCGTTGACCATCCTTTGTTGGGGATCTGCGTGGAGATCATGCGCGCATGCATCTCGCTGGCGTGGGATGAGCATGTTGAACTATGTGTAGTTCTAGGAGGTGATTTGTAAGGCGACCTGCATGTAGGTGAGCCGCCTTCTAGTCCTGGATTGCCTTCCTGACGATCTTGTTGACGCTGTTGATGATCTTACAGATGACCTTGGCAAGGTGAGAGATTCTGTTGAGGGTCTGAGTCCGAAGACGTCTCTCTCGACCTTCTAGGTGGTGTAGGTTCCTTCTCTGTGAAGTGGGTAGCCCTGCGGAAGGTTCTTTATTAGCCTCATCATCTGATGACGATCTCATTGGTTCTGAAGAGTGTGCCGTCCTGCGCGCAGGTTTGCTGACGTCATGTAGCGTAGATCTGCTCTTAGTCCTAGAGCTAGATTCACTGGTGGGCCTCTCAGATGTATCATCAGTGTAGGGTCGTTTGTGCAGGTCTGGATCCTCTCTCAGGTTTATTTCTTGAGCATGAGAGCCGCCTGGCTGTCCATCATGCGAGGCTCTTTCCTGCGCGAAGCGCTTCTCCATCATCTCCATCATCTGTTGAGAGAATTGCTGCATGAAGGCCCCAGGGTTGAATGTCTGCGACGATTGTAGAGATGTCGTCTCTGAGATGGTAGCAATATGGTCCAGGGATCACTGTGCCTCATGGATGTCTGCTGTCAGTGTAGACTCGGTCTGCGTAGATAGGGCTGCTGACGTTACCGTTGCCGTTGCGGAGGCCTCTCTCTTCCATCGGGACGATTTCGGCCGCAAAGGTCCTCGTCATCTGCGAAGAAGTCCCCGTAGAGCTGGTTGAAGTCTTAGGGGTGTGAGGCTTTTTCTGCGCTGAAGATGGCCTCTTCTTCTTCGTCTGGGTTGAGGAGTTTTCCGAAGTAGAAGACCTTTTCTTCGTTGTAATGGCGGACAACATCCCACGCCCATCTTCAGAGGACGCCTCCGGCAGGTCACTGGATGGTAGAATGTCGTCGGACAACGATGGACAGCTCTTGAGGGACTCAGCCGGTTTATCCATGACTTGTAAAAGTCGACGGGATTTATCCTTAGCACACCTAAGTACAGAGAAATAATAATTATTAAATTGAATTTGTGTTAATTGCTGACATAAGTTACAGCGAGAGCTGGAAGTGCATATTGTTGTGCAGCTGGGGCACTGTAAATGCGGGTCTGCAGCAGATAACCTAAACCTACAACGAAAACAGGTTTTCATGAAATGTAAACAACTGAACAATCACGTAAAAAACGTGAATAAACAGTCAAATTACGAATAAATTTCAAACCATATTGTAGAAGGATACTCCCTAAAGCCTTATAAAGGTAGCTTATAGGAAAATAACTAATTAATCAAAGGATATAGTGCCGTATTGGAGACACAGGTGCTCTCCCAACCGTCCACTAGGGCGAAGAAGGAGAGAGTGAAGCGAGGGAAGACAGGTGGCGCTGTTTTCCCGCCAAAACCAGAGGGACATAACTCATGGTGAGTAGTGATTTTACGTCTGCTCTTTTGAAAGGGAGCTTCAAAAAGGAGATACAAGTGTTCCACTAACGTTCGGGAAGGGAAGGAGACAAGCAATAATACATGAGTCAGGATAAGGAAAAATAATTCATTTTGGAAAAAGGAAATTTTACATCCAAGCCTTATTCCAGAAACGTTGGATTCCAAAGCCACTCAGCAGTACTACAGGCATGTCGCGACATGATAACAATGGACTCCAGGCCAACAGGACCAGCCACAACACATGCCCACAGAGAACAATGACATGCAATCAGCTGGTGGAGCACTATCACAGATAATCAGACAAGTTGCACATGAATACAATCAGTATTTTATGTAGTTTTATCAAAACCATCTGTTTGTCTCAGTATGAAGATCAATCTCATCCATCAAGCATGGATCTATTCCTCCCCAGAATCAATTCTATCACCATAGCAACCTGCATTACAAATGTATTATTATGTGGATTTTTCCATTGCGATAAAAATACAAAAAAGTCATCATCCATTGTTACATTATCCAATGGAAAGGTGGAAATGTTTTTCATCCAATACTCAGTTAAAACATAATTATTTGGTCAGTTGTTGTCAATGAATCATCATCTAATATGGGTCATTTGGGCTCAAGTGGTTCCTGATGTTTGCTGAATCAATGACAGAAACTACCCAGCTGACCAGAGCATGAGGCCACTTGACCACTCCATGAAATGGTGTGTGAACACAGGTTTCTCTTCCTGTATACCAAACCAATCCAAAAAATGTCTCAGACATTGGAGCATCACAACGGGGGACACCTGAAATGGGCTTCACACATTGAACCCATGGGGAATTGAACCCGGTCCAACACAGTAGTCATGAGCGAACGCTTAAACCACTAGGCTACCCTACTGCCCCGTGACATTGGAGAATCTTGTTCCAATAAAGGTCATCTTACATCAACTCCATAATAACTGTTTTCTAAGTTTTCACTCAACATAATATAGATGATACCAAAAGTGTTTGTTGTGGCCTGCATAGGAGACCCACACAGTCCTTTTATTCAATGCCAAGCAATGGTCAGCTTGGTGCAATTCTGTATCGCATTGAGACATTTATGTAGAGGTAGCTTCCTGGGATACATTTCTGCTATGAGTCTGTGAACGAGTTGAATGTTGCTTGGAACAGTATACCATTTACATGAAGGAATGTCAGCTTGTGAGAAGAAAGATGTTCCACTTTGGTGAAACCAACAATTATTGAATAGAGCTGAGACTCCTGATCAGTAAATTGAGCCCACGGGCATAGAATCCTACAACATGTAAGGGAAGCAACTCCGCTTTTCAGAACTAGGTCCCAGTTTAGAATCTTTAATAATCAAAATACTGGTGAAGTAAGAGAGGCAGCATGTCTGACGCCCATAGTCTTTCATGGTGTAAGAGCATCAAACACTTCGATTCAAGAGCCCTGCCTCAGTTGCTATGTAACAGTCTTTAAAATTCTTCGTAAGCACAAGTCTAGAGGGTCTTGATGACATTCTTAGTTTGGATAGCTACCCGGAATGATGGAGAGAACAGCAGTTCAAAAGACACCAGAACAAGACACGACTTCATTCACAATAATAAATAATGAATACTGATTGAAGACGTCAAAATATCACAATGCACACAAAACAAAACGTACGTAACAACTGTCTAAACATGCAGCAACTATCCGTGTATAGCAATAAATGGCAACAAGGTAACTGGCACTTCTTCTTCATAAGGAATCCGGTGTTTCTTGATGACTCGTGCTGCAAAACATTTCAGTGATAAATATTCCATTGGGCAAATCGGATAACCATGAGATTTCAGAAGGTCTAGGGCGCGCTGTGACCCTCGTTATTGCACATATCGGCATGCGCTCCGTGGTTCAGCAAACAATACAGAATGCCTTCGTCATGGAGCTCAGTGTAGGTGAGAAACTTCACACTGTTGTATAATGCAGTGTTTCTTCTTTGATCAACAGCGTTCACATTGGCTCCACATTCAATCAGCACCTGCACAACACTCAAGGCTGGAAATGCTGAGTAGAACTCTTCACTAGTAAGACTGATTTTGGGATCAACGGCAAGATGAAGCAAACTTTCTTGTTCAGTTCCCCTTGGATCCTGAAGTACCAGCTCGTGGACAAGACGTTTGAATGGCAGCTTTTCTTCAGGGGAACTTCAAGTCTGGCTAAGAGATGGATCAGATGAAGGGACAGCTGCATGAGGAGCTGGAAATCATCGGCAGTCTGATGAGGAACTGGTTCGTCTGACATTTTGGGCACTCCGCTCCGGATGTGTTGAATGAGCAGGTCAAACACCTCCAGGGCATCCCCAAACCGGACTCTTTCATCTGTCGCCCCTGATTCCAACTCCAGTTGCATCTCCCAGAACAGCTTGACGAGGGCCTGGACCGTGAACAGACACTCGTGGTTGAGAGCCTCAACCTTCTTATGCCTCAGCTGGAATGCATACTTCCATAAATCCACACACCGTTGGTATCTGTGGGTGTCTGCGTAAACCGCACCTCGGTACATCAACCCAAACGTTGTGTCTTTGTGATTTGGTCCAAGAATTCGTTCTCGGATCAACAACGCTTGCATGTACACAGAATCTGGGTCTATCACTTTCTCTTCAAGTTCCTCAAATGACTGTGGTTCCCTGGCATTATCATATGCAATCTGGCTAGTGGTGGGCAAGTCCTTGAGAACAATGTTCTGAGGATCACCGATACGTAACGCCATGGCTTTCTTCCACATTGCCAGCCCACCTGCAATATCATGCTTCTCATCAACATAGTTGGCACCTAGAAGTTCATAAGCATGAATCATACTGACCAAGTCCTGTACAGTGTGTTCTATGATAAAATCAACAATATTTCCAAAACCTCTCAATGCAGCAGTCTGCAAAGAATCATCACAGAAGTCGTTCCTGGCACGGTAGTCAGAACCATGTTTCAGTAAAAGTTCTACCGTCTCTAATCTTCCTTCTCGTATGGCATAATGCAAAGCCAGATTTCCAGAGTTATCCCTTGCATTAACGTCAGCTCCTTTCTTAATGAGGAACAAGCACAATTCAGAGCTCTGGACCGAGTTGATGAGGCAGGTGCCCCCGTTGATGTTGGGTTTGTGGATGTCGGCGCCATGGTCAACGAGGTACTTGACCACGGAGATGTTTGTCATGTAGCATGCGGAACGCACTGGGGTTGAGTCTGTATCGGATGTGCTGTTGATGTGAGCTCCGTGTTGGACCAGCGATTTTACGACTTCAAGGCGATTGGCTACAGCTGCACACCATAGAGGAGTTACCTGGAGACAGAAAAAGAAAGTTGGTTGGTTGGTTGGTTGGTTGGTTAACGCTGCACTCAGCAATATTCCAGCTATATGGCAGCAGTCTGTAAATAATCGAGTCTGGATCAAACAATCCAGAGATCAACAGCATGATCATCAATCTACACTACTGGGATACAATTAAGTGTCAGTGACAAGTGCTGATGAAAAGATGAGTTGTTAAGTGAGATTTGGAAGTTGTTAGAGAATCAGAACAATTGTAACCCGGAATTGTAGTGAATTACAATATGTGCCGATTCACGTACGGGAAAAGATATACATATTTATATCCATAAGCTGTATTAGAAATTTAATTTTGTCCTTAAAATCCTCCATCGCTTCTTTGAAAGATATGTTGCCAGAATGAAAAACCAGCCAGACGAATGTGGAGTAAACGGGCACCCATTACACAACATGGTCTGATGTGTTATGACTCTTCAATGTATACAATCTATGATCTTTGTGCAGTAATACTTGAATGTATCTACTCATGTTTGAAGACTGATGTGTTGTGAACTGTCAACATGTACAAGCTTGTATTAGACATGACATCTGTATAATAATGTATGAATGTTTCTACTGCTTGGTTACCCAGAATGATATGGTGCTATTATGAAAACAAACCATTATACAACCGCAATTATACAACCAAGATTGTATGATTTTTGTATAAAATGATTGTAACTAGAACTGTCACCTGTCACAGTGTACGATTTTTGTATAAAATGACTGTACCTACTGATGTGAATAAAAAATGTGGAAAAAATAAATAAATTAATAAAAATAAAAAAAAAAAAATAAATTGTAACCTGGATCTTCACGGGTACTTGTGAACAAAGATCTATGCTTTGTGGTATGATGACACACCGGCAGCCAAGTCACAAATTTTGACAACCTGATCCTTTAATTCGCCTCTTACAACCAACACAAGTTGAAGAACATATTCTGAACTGGAATCCCAAAGGGGTCAAATCCCCATAGAGTGTTTGGGCTCACCTGGTGCCTGGATCTGTCTTCCTCCACTTCATAAATGCCCTTCTGTTCCACATCGGCCATACACTCATCAAGGAGGTAGTTCCCAATGTGGACCTTTCCTTGCAGGCAGGCCATGAACAGAGGTGCATTGCCGTTGATCTTGTAGGTGACGACCCGCTTGCGCTGCTCCTTGGAGAACTTCTTGAGGGTGCCTCGGAGCTTACTGAGTTTGTCCTCCTGGATGCAGTTGTGGACGATGGAGGCATACCACGACACATCAACATCCTCCAGGTGTGTCTTGGATGCCATTACTGCTGGCACCTGAAGGTAGACAAACAGGTGTGACTCAGGGCAGGTAAACAAGAATCATTCTAGGCAAACAAACAAGAATCACTCGGGGCAGACAAACAGAAGTCACTCTGGGCAGGCAAACAGGAGTCCCCGTAAACAGGAGTCATTCTGGGAAAGCAAACAGAAGTGACTCAGGGCAGGTAAAGAGGAGTGACTCAGGGTAGGTAAAGAGCACATAAACATGAAAACAAATCTATCCAGGGGAATATTTCCATTTTCTGAAGCCTGATTACAGAAACATTTCATTCTGTCTTCAAAATTCTGTTAAGTTAATGGTCCCAAACATAAGCATCTAATAAACATTATGCCAGTAGAGTAGCATATGTTTTAGCAAGTATCCCTGGCTAAAGCTGAGTAGTATATGCTGGAGCAAGTATCACTCCCTAAAGTTGAGTAGTATATGCTTGAGCAAGTACCCCTGCCTAAAGTTGAGTAGTACTAGTGGGAGCAAATGTATCACTATTTGTCACTTGTCAGAGATATTTCAAACAGGTAAAAATATGATGAGCTACGCAGATTGTCCATGAGAATTGCTCACCTAAACAGATTGTTAGGCCTAAAAAAATGTTGTGGTTTCGATTACCCACCGACCCATGAATTCTGGTGCTGACTCTATGTTTTAAGCAGTATGAATAAAATAAGCTTTCTGATACCATTGCTTTTTCCGTGGCACGGAAGGACATCGGTCATTCTGATAAAGTCAACATGAGGGCTGCAAGCTTGTTTAAATAAACAATTACACATTGATAAACATGTTATTAGTTAGTACTTTACTTCTAAAATAAATGTAAAAACAAAATCCTCCCTACCTACCCTAAATTTTTAAACAGGTGTAATCGGAACCACTACATTTTTTTATTCAGCCTTAGTCATTCATCTGCCTGTACTGACTGACTGAGTTTGGTTTTACGCCGCTTTTAGCAATATTCCAGCAACATCACGGCGGGGGACACCAGAAATGGGCTTCACACATTGTACCCATGTGGGGATTCGAACCCGGGTCTTCGGCGTGACGAGACAACGCTTTAACCATTAGGCTACCCCACCGGCCCCTCATCTGCCTGTAAAAGCAGGCAAGATAGGGGAAGCCCAGAGACAACGAGTATAAAAGCAGAAAGACAGGGGAAGAACGCAGACGGACCAGCGCAAAGGCAAGATAGGGGAAGCCCAAAGACAGCGAGTATAAAAGCAGGAAGACATGGGAAGAATGCAGACGGACCAGCGGAAAGGCAAGATAGGGGAAGCCCAGAGACAGTGAGTGTACAAGCAGGAAGGCCAGGGAAGAATGCAGACGGACCAGCGGAAAGGCAAGATAGGGGAAGCCCAGAGACAGCGAGTATAAAAGCAGGAAGACATGGGAAGAATGCAGACGGACCAGCGGAAAGGCAAGATAGGGGAAGCCCAGAGACAGTGAGTGTACAAGCAGGAAGGCAAGGGAAGAATGCAGGCAGACAGCGAAAGGCAAGATAGGGGAAGCCCAGAGACAGCGGAAGTATAAAAGCAGGGAAGACATAGGAAGAACATGAGCGGACCAGCGGAAAGGCAAGATAGGGGAAGCCCAGAGACAGCGAAAGTATAAAAGCAGGAAGACATAGGAAGAGCGCGAGACGGACCAAGCGCAAAAGGCAAGATAGGGGAAGCCCAGAGACAGTGTGAATATAAAAGCAGGAAGACATAGGAAGAGCATGAGCGGACCAGCGGAAAGGCAAGATAGGGGAAGCCCAGAGACAGCGGTATAAAAGCAGGAAGACATAGGAAGAACGCCAGGCGGACCAGCAAAAGGCAAGATAGGGGAAGCCCAGAGACAGCGAATATAAAAGCAGGAAGACATAGGAAGAACGCAGACGGACCAGCGGAAAGGCAAGATAGGGGAAGCCCAGAGACAGTGAGTATAAAAGCAGGAAGACATAGGAAGAACGCAGACGGACCAGCGGAAAGGCAAGATAGGGGAAGCCCAGAGACAGCGAGTATAAAAGCAGGAAGACATAGGAAGAACGCAGACGGACCAGCGGAAAGGCAAGATAGGGGAAGCCCAGAGACAGCGAAAGTATAAAAAGCAGGAAGACATAGGAAGAAACGGAGACGGACCAGCGGAAAGGCAAGATAGGGGAAGCCCAGAGACAGCAGTATAAAAAGCAGGAAGACATAGGAAGAAGCGCATAGGCGGACCAGCGCAAAAGGCAAGATAGGGGAAGCCCAGAGACAGCGAAGTATAAAAGCAGGAAGACATAGGAAGAGCATGAGCGGACCAGCGCAAAAGGCAAGATAGGGGAAGCCCAGAGACAGACGAGTATAAAAGCAGGAAGACATAGGAAAAAGCAGAGCGGACCAGCGGAAAGGCAAGATAGGGGAAGCCCAGAGACAGCGAAAGTATAAAAGCAGGAAGACATAGGAAAAGCGCCAGAAGCGGACCAGCGCAAAGGCAAGATAGGGGAAGCCCAGAGACAGCGGAAGTATAAAAGCAGGAAGACATAGGAAGAGCACGAGGCGGACCAGCGAGAAAGGCAAGATAGGGGAAGCCCAGAGACAGCCAGTATAAAAGCAGGAAGACATAGGAAGAACGCAGAGCTGACGGACCAGCGGAAAGGCAAGATAGGGGAAGCAGAGACAGCGAAAGTATAAAAGCAGGAAGACATAGGGAAGAACGAGACGGACCAGCGGAAAGGCAAGATAGGGGAAGCCCAGAGACAGCGAGAAGTATAAAAGCAGGAAGACATAGGAAGAACGAGACGGACCAGCGGAAAGGCAAGATAGGGGAAGCCCAGAGACAGCGAAAGTATAAAAGCAGGAAGACATAGGAAGAACGCAGACGGACCAGCGGAAAGGCAAGATAGGGGAAGCCCAGAGACAGCGAGTATAAAAGCAGGAAGACATAGGAAGAACGCAGACGGACCAGCGGAAAGGCAAGATAGGGGAAGCCCAGAGACAGCGAGTATAAAAGCAGGAAGACATAGGAAAGAACGACCGGAATGAAGGCAAGATAGGGGAACGGACCAGCGGTATAAAAGGCAAGATAGCGGACCAGGGAAAAGGCAAGAGGGACAGACAGCGAGAGTATAAAAGCAGGAAGACATAGGAAGAACGCAGAGCGGACCAGCCGCAAAAGGCAAGATAGGGGAAGCCCAGAGACAGAGTAGTATAAAAGCAGGAAGACATAGGAAGAACGAGACGGACCAGCGGAAAGGCAAGATAGGGGAAGCCCAGAGACACAGTATAAAAGCAGGAAGACATAGGGAAGAACATGAGACGGACCAGCGGAAAAGGCAAGATAGGGAAGCCCAGAGACAGCGAGTATAAAAGCAGGAAGACATAGGAAGAACGCAGACGGACCAGCGGAAAGGCAAGATAGGGGAAGCCCAGAGACAGCGAGTATAAAAGCAGGAAGACATAGGAAGAACGCAGACGGACCAGCGGAAAGGCAAGATAGGGGAAGCCCAGAGACAGCGAGTATAAAAGCAGGAAGACATAGGAAGAACGCAGACGGACCAGCGGAAAGGCAAGATAGGGGAAGCCCAGAGACAGCGAGTATAAAAGCAGGAAGACATAGGAAGAACGCAGACGGACCAGCGGAAAGGCAAGATAGGGGAAGCCCAGAGACAGCGAGTATAAAAGCAGGAAGACATAGGAAGAACGCAGACGGACCAGCGGAAAGGCAAGATAGGGGAAACCCAGAGACAGCGAGTATAAAAGCAGGAAGACATAGGAAGAACGCAGACGGACCAGCGGAAAGGCAAGATAGGGGAAGCCCAGAGACAAGAAGGGACAAACAATGAACCAGCCAATCCAGCCCATCTGATGCCCTAGTGTCAATCTGACTTCGCTGGCCTTCCCGTGTTCGCCCTAACTCATAAAACTGTACTGCAAGAAAACCTCCATCATTGTATTATTCATGTATATGATATCAATGTATGTACTTAATCAAGTATACACCCGTATACAATTATTATACATCTCTTGTACTACATTGTACTTTTTTGTAGCCTTGAGTGAATATATAAAGTTATCTAAAACAATTATTCTTTGTACCCAACAATGCCTCATGTTGTTTGAACAGCACCAGAGGTGATACACAAGTATCCCTGTCTAAAGTCAAGTAGTATAGGATGGAGAAAGTATCCCTGTCTACAGTCAAGTAGTATAGGATGGAGAAAGTATCCCTGTCTAAAGTCAAGTAGTATAGGATGGAGAAAGTATCCCTGTCTAAAGTCAAGAAGTATAGGATGGAGAAAGTATCCCTGTCTAAAAGTCAAGAAGTATGGGATGGAGAAAGTATCCCTGTCTAAAGTCAAGTAGTATAGGATGGAGAAAGTATCCCTGTCTAAAGTCAAGAAGTATAGGATGGAGAAAGTATCCCTGTCTAAAGTCAAGTAGTATAGGATGGAGAAAGTATCCCTGTCTAAAGTCAAGTAGTATAGGATTGAGAAAGTATCCCTGTCTAAAGTCAAGTGGTATAGGATGGAGAAAGTATCCCTGTCTAAAGTCAAGAAGTATAGGATGGAGAAAGTATCCCTGTCTGAAGTCAAGTAGTATAGGATGGAGAAAGTATCCCTGTCTAAAGTCAAGTAGTATAGGATGGAGAAAGTATCCCTGTCTAAGTCAAGTAGTATAGGATGGAGAAAGTATCCCTGTCTAAGTCAAGTAGTATAGGATGGAGAAAGTATCCCTGTCTAAGTCAAGTAGTATAGGATGGAGAAAGTATCCCTGTCTAAGTCAAGTAGTATAGGATGGAGAAAGTATCCCTGTCTAAGTCAAGTAGTATAGGATGGAGAAAGTATCCCTGTCTAAAGTCAAGTAGTATAGGATGGAGAAAGTATCCCTGTCTAAAGTCAAGTAGTATAGGATGGAGAAAGTATCCCTGTCTAAAGTCAAATAGTATAGGATGGAGAAAGTATCCCTGTCTGAAATTTAGTAGACTATACTAAATGATGATATACTTCATGATGCTTTGGATACCAAGATATCGGCCCTCA